TAGTAGCAAGAAGTATTCTTGCTACTAGAGCAAAACTATATACAACCACCGAGGAAATAAAGTCAATGCATTGATTCTTATCTCAGTTTCTAAGCACTTAACAGCTTTCATCTTCCTTGCGTATATTATGTTATCTGGAAGTTGCACTACTTTTCCTGCGACTGTCCAGGATAGTTCGTGGTAAGAGGAATATTTTAACAGCACCAAGAACACACTGGACCTTCACAGAGTACTTCAACACGGGCTGTTAGAGCTACTTAGAAATTTTTTTGCAATAAATAGTACATTTTCTCCAAGAGCCAAAGATTACCCCCTCCCTTGTTCAACAAAAATCTGAAGGTTTTAGGCCCAAGCAGCATTGCCCCCCCCACCCAAGTTACATGGCTTGACAAAACTCTTTTTTTCAAAAGACGAAATTCTGAAACAGCAAAAACGATTAAAGAAAAGAAACAAAACATGAGCCAGCTCTAACAGTCGAGGACTGAAGATGCCTTCTAAAGCGTCCTACAAACATACACAACTTCCAGGGAAGGCTGTGAGGATTCCTCATATCATTTATTTCTATTATTGCAGTGGTAGTGGTCCCAGTGACATGGGGTCTTGTTATGCTGTAACATTGCTTGAGGAACAATCTGGCCAAAAAGCTCGTGAAGTAAGTAGGAAAGAGTCAAGCAGAAACAGAAAGGGATAGTTATTCCTGTTTTATACCGAGAGACTTGAGGGGGAAAACAATTAAAGGGCTTCCACAAAGGGTCACCCAAAAATCTAACTTCAAGCTGAGAACAGAGTCCAAATGGAGAGGGACAAGTCTTTGGTCCCTCTCCAAAGCACAGCTGCAGGCTATCTGTCCTCAAAACAAACCTCTCCTGATAAAGCTTTTTAGAGTATTTTTGCTCAAGTCAGACAAACTCCCTCTTTTGCCCCCTCTCCACAGCCTGAAGCTTTCATAACAAGATGGGAAGGTGTCTAAAAACAGTGCTTCAGCCACAACATATAGACTGCTCACTGTCACAGTCACAGCAACATTATCATACCAGCCCTACTGACATGCCAGCAGCAGGCTCATCTAAAAACCTACTGCAGAAACAAATAGCTAGCCACCCACTGACTGCTGATGTAAGTGGTTGAGAAAGACCAGAACAGCAAAGGAAGGGCAAATAACTCATTTGGTGCCAATCCTGTCCATAAATGGGAACTGCAATGGAATCCCTACCAGTAATTTTGTCTCCTTTTTATAGTCATTGGTCCCAAGGAATCTTGAAATTTGATCTTCCAGATTTGATCATAAATTGGCCAGCAGTTCATCCTTGCAGAAATTACTGGGTTTTTTTCCTCCTTTCTTTTAACACAACCTAGGATGTTCCACATCTTGCAGCTGCAAAATTTTACTGAAATCTGAGCTATAATAACCTATTTCCACACAATCATACTAAAATTCTGATTCTTTTCTTCCTGATAAGAATGCTTTAAGCAACTAAATTTAGGGCATCCACAAAAGAACATTCAATTTGTCTCTTGATGTAAATCCAGTCATTTCATTTTCTACTTCTACTCAAAAGTGATGTACGAGCCCTACTGTGCAGTGAAGGTCCACATGGCATTAAGATAAGTGTACCTGACCAAAGATTAACATCTCGCTCAACCAGATCCCAATATAAACATAATTAAAATGTCCTTTTGTTTTAAAGCAATACCAGAAGTAGTTCATATTTGTTGTATCTATAGCTACACACATTAGAACAAGATACAAAATATGCACAAAACATGTATTTTACAAACCAAAATGTCACACTTGGGGATGGAACAATTTACTGCTGGCAGCTAAAGAGAGTCCCTTCTCTCCCTGATGTCATTAAGTCTCCTATACTAAGGTTCCCTTAACTGAATGTTAGCTGAAGATGTGCTTTGCCTTCCAACAGTCATTTCCTTGGTAACAGATAGGCATGCTCCGGGCTTTTATTCTGAAAAGCCTTTTTTTTTTTTTTTTTTTTTTAAGAATTATACCCCAGTTTTGAGCTGGAAATCTCTATGTTAAAAAGGTACATTATGAATAACCCACTAAAGTCAATAGGATCAAACCAGCGGCCAGGTAAAGAGATAACGGAAGAGCAGAAGCCATCGCCGTAACTTGTACGGTAGAACGATTATGAGCCTGCCCCCTCCCAGCGTAGTCCCATGACAGAAAGTGGTCCCCCAAGATCTTACGTTTCAAGTGGGGGGAGATAACAAATGCTCTCAGCTCCCCCATCTGCCAGGAGCCAACGCTCATCGTTGCAAGCCTAGGTTAACGTGCTGTTCCTCTACACGCCTGTAGGCTGGGATGCAAAGGAGGTTTCTACAGCGAGAGCGGCAGTGAAAAGGGATGCCCAGTCCCAGCTCACCCATGAGGACCGCTACTGCTTCCAAAACAATCCTCCCGGGACATTGTGGGAGATAACTGCTACGTAAGAAATCGCCCACCCTCCCCAAGGGTCCAGCTTGGGTCTCGGTAGCATGTTCAGCCTGTCACAACCCACCTAGGCATGCCCTTCTGCTAGGCACAACTCGAACAAAGTAGGCCATGGGGAAAGATGTGCATCAGGCACAACAGCTCTGCAGGCACCATGCCTGCCCCATAACCACGAGGGATAACTGCAGCATGAAGGCTTTTTATTTTGAACACAAGGCTTTCAAAGCTCAGCCGAGGTCGTCCATTCTTCCTCTCTGTTCCCCCGACACGTTGACACATTCACACTTCACTAAGCGTGAAAAGCAAAACTCGCTCACCCTGTACTGTCACTTGGGGTGTACAGTCCCATTTCCGAGGCCTCCCTTGGCCTGTACAGCCTCACAGAGACTCCACATGGCACAGACTGCTGATGGCCTCAGGGGAGACGGACGTTTGCAGGCACGTCACTCAAAGGACAAAACCATCTGCAGCTTGGCTGAGAGGAGGTAGTGGGGAAGGGGGCAGACAATCCCCGTGCCAGGGCAGGACGGCAAACAGAGAAGGGGGAAGAGCGCCAGACGGTACTTTGGTAGCCAGTGGTTTTTGCCGCTCCTGAACAGGGCTGGAGAGCATCTTTCCACATCTTGCTCAGGCTTCAGTGAAAGTGACAGCGCACCAGTATCCATCCTGCTCTGCTCCAGGAAGCTGGAAGTTAGTAGAAGTATCATTTAAGAGATTTTTCTTTTTGCATCTGCCTTTCCCTCTCTGCTTCCACTGAGAAGTCGTAGTAAGGACAAGGAAGCACAGTCCACAGTATGACTTCCTCATATCAATGTGAGAACTGTTTCACTAGCTAAACCTGATCTTCTTACAATTTCTAGTCCACTGGGCCATATCACAGTTTGAGAGAGTGATAAACAAGTGCAGGTCTCAAAGAGAGAGACTTTGTATCTAAGCTATTGGATCTGAGGCTGTTTTACCCTCGCTTTTATTTATTCTTTCCAATGCGCTTGCTTTCACCTCCTCCAACTCCCATTACAATCAACACGCTCAACTGTCAGCTATACGGGGCAGGCAGGTCTGCGTCTGGGCAGTTTTCACACCAAGTAACAACACATCAAGAATGAGAACACAGCTCCTGAAGTAGCAGCTGCTTTCTGTGTCAGGCCCTCCTGGAGCTTCCCAATAGGGCAGAGATTGGAAAGTTTCCTCCATCCCAGTCCCAATCATTATTAAAAAAAAAAAAAAAAAAAAGTGGCAGGGAGAAGAAGGGAAATTCTGATAACTGAGTCAGATGAGAAGAAAAATCAGGTGCTCCCATCTGAGTGACTTATCTCTGACCACTGGTGTAATCCTTTCCAAATTCAATTACATCTAATTAAAAGTAATTCTCTCTTCTGAGCTGATCACTTGCTGTTCCAAGTTACACTGAAATCCTGCTGGAAAAATGGCCAAGATAAGGAAGGCTTTAAGGAAAGACTGACGATGCAAGCTCACAGGAAACAGCAGGGTTACACCACAATACAGTTAACTGGTAGCCCTCTGGCATACTCATTGATTTTGAGTGAAACAGACTGGATTACAGTCCTAAATATCCTAACCTCTCTCCTTTTGTTTTATCTGCCCCTCCTGATTGTCTTTCAATTGCTTGGGAGAAGCAGTGCTCAAGAAACTGGTACCGCTTCACACAGCTCTTCACTTGAAATTGCATTATCTCATTTGCAAAGAAGTGGTGTTCTGGCTCCTCTCCACTCATTTTTTGGTCTAGCACCAGCCAGCATATAAATGTATTATTATTAGCACACAGTTAGTCGGAGGCCAAGTTCCAGTGACCAGCTCCAGCATCTGGTCTGGATAAAAATGCTTTGCGCGAACAGTCAGCAATCTTCCTCTGACATATGAAGCATGTCCAGCTGCCTGCTAGAATAGTGAAAAGAGAGGTAGTAACTTGGAGCCATAGACTCAGTTCTGGAAAGAGTTTTAAAAGCCAAGCATCTCCCTTACTTGAACAGCATCTGGTAGGATTAGATCTCATCCGGTTGCCAGGAATTAGATGCTAGTGCTCTTCTGCTACTCGCTGTAGAAAGGCTTGCAAAGCAGCTACAAGTCATAAAGCACCTCCCTCCTCTTCCCAGGGCAGTAAGTGGTCAACTCCAGGGACTCTCTACTAGCAATTTCTTTATCGTGTTATCTGGATAATAAACCAATTGCTTACACAGCTTTTACTGACAAGATCCAACTATGGGATTTGCAGTGGCAGGACAAAGTTGCTGTTTACTTTCAAATTGCCGAGGCCAGCATAAGCCAGAACACCAACCACAGTAAATATATCACACAAGGGAAGGGCATGGCGGAGGAGAGAAAACAATTTTCTGGAGTTCTAACCCTCAACGCAAGCAAGACTTGCCAGTGACCGACCCTACTACAATATTTGCAAATGGATGTTTCATCACACAAGCTTCAGAACAGGGGCTAGTGTTAATGTTTAGTGAATCGCATCCTCTATGTTCAACAGGGCAGAAGAAAACATGACAAATACATGATTTGCTTATGTGGATCCATTGCTCTCTGATACATCAGTTCCTGTAGAGTCCAGAATACGACACTTTGAAGAAAGGAAGAATACCCGATTAGACCTTCCAGACAAGAAAGCAATGCTTCACAAGAGAACTTTTCTCTGGCTCTTACAAAAACAGCTAAGCCAAGTTGCACATGATATAATTATCCACATTTTGATTACCTTTTGTGTCTTAATTACAATTACAGTATGCTTGGCATACTGTCATTCAACAACTTACAATCACAGTCTATGAGTACATTATTTCATTCATTAAGTTATAAAAGCAGCCAAAGAAAGCTTGCAACACAGATGGTTGGTTTCTGTCCAGCTACAGTCCTCTAAGTCCACAGAGCTGACAGGTGGGGCAGACCTCTTTGCTCATTTTAAATGAATTGCTCTTCAATTAGGCTGCACTGCGTCTTTCTGGCACATTTCTAGGGAAGCTGAGAAACTGCAAGTATTAGACTGACGGGGTAGATACCACTCCAAATTTTTTTTGGCTTCGGGGAATAGGAAGAGATAGAAAGTTACTGTTCAATCTTAACATGCTGTGTCTTCAGAACAAACTTAATTCCAAAAGAGAAACGAAAGTAGTCTGCAAGTAGAGGGTCATAGCAAGCGCCCTTCACTGTAGTTTTTACATCTTATGTTCAGCTTGTCCCAAGCAAGGCTCAGCTCTGACCAGGGCTCTTCCAGTGTCAGGGCATTCCTAACAATCCTCGCTAGCACTGGCTGCCTGGTAGCTAGTAATACAGTTGATCTCTTGCAGCAGGGCTGAGGATAGCAATTGATTTGGGCTAAATCTCTTCTCTGCCATTGATCTGCACAAATCTTACAGGAACACTAAGGATATCTGAGCTGTCTTCCCTATATAATGTGCAAAATCATGTAATCCTATTAAGGAAGATTAACAGACAGGAAATTGAGGGGATAGTTAAAAAAAACAATTACCAGAAATGACTTTCCCCTAGTTATACGCAAAATAGCGTTGTAGAAATCACCATTTATATCGCTAAAAGAAACATGTTCCTCCCCAAACACCTGACTGGCAGGTATGCTCAGATGAGCTTTCCCCCTGGAATCATGTCCATTTATCCATCTTCTAATTATTGTTGGTTTGTTGTGACGAAAAAAAAGTAATGGAAAGAAATTCAATCAATGCCACTGCCATACAAAAAGCATCATAAAATGAGTTTGAGCCAGAAAGATTGTATTTTGAGGGTAAAATGAAGCAGAAGCGTGGTACCTGGCTGCATGTTCCCTACAAAGTAGATATAAACCTCTTACCTAGAATCTCAGCAATGTAGATGCTAGATAATCGAGAAGGACATAGGACCACAATTTTGCAGCATATTCAGATCCAGTTGGTGGTACTATATAAGTTTCACATCTCAGTGAGCAACCTCAGCTAATACTTGATGCATAACCTAGCGAGAAAAATTGCCCATGTTTTCTGTCATAGCTTTTAACTCCTCTCTTCTTTCTTCCTCCCAGAAATTGGTCAATGCGTAGTTTTCTTTCCCTCTTTTTGCATCATTCAGCCAGGTAAAAGAAGGAAAGTCCAGCATAAAGTCTGCTATTTATAATGAGGCAATACAGTAAGGGACAGATGAGACTGGAAGGTCACAAGGCTGCACCAGCCCACGGCTACTACACAAGCCTATATCAAGTCTATATGACATATCAAGCATATAGCTGATACAACTGCCTGAGGGCTACAAGTATCTAAGCTAATCTATACGTGAGTAATTCAGAAGGCAAGAAGCCAATTAAACAATTCATAACTAGACATTATTTGTTGACAAACATCTTTTAAAAGAGGTGGGAAACCCAGAACAATGGTCAATAAACAAACTGTCACCTCCAGATAGTTCATCCACCTCCCGTAACGCTGGGCAGGATATGTGCTGCCATGAATGTGTATAGCTCTTCTCCTCACTCCGCCCATTTCTTTTTCTTGTGGTCTTTGCACCAGATGGCCACTGTCATTAGTTTATATTTGATTAATTTCCATTGCTAGACTGGAGTTACATTTCAGGGGACCAGTAGGCACTTATCAGCAACCCAGCTGCTATGTGAAACAGCACTCTCTCAGGCTATGCTAATGTGGAACTAATTTGAGAAAGGATTTACATTTATATAAGTCTAAAACTCTTTCTTTTCTGAGGGATGGAGTTTTACAACAAGCTCAGTGACGTGCTTCTGATGTTGCCATTTATATTTACAATAATTCTTGATGGGAGTATCCAATTTTGGATGGAGGGGTCATTTAGTTTTATATTGCACTTCAGAAATGGCTGTTTCATCCACTCCTTGTCCATCTTTAAACATCATGGACCACTTCCCATTTTCCTCCCAGGAGACGTTTTCACAATAGAAAAGGCTCTGTAAAAAGAAATCACAGAACTATTCCATTCTTTGCCCTAAACTGTGTTCAGTTACAGTATAAAGTCACTTTCTCGTCAAACATACGGCCTACCATCATTGCTGTACCGACTGGGCTGTAAACTCCAATAGACTCATAGATTTTTGAGATGCTTTGTCAGAATAGAGAGCGCCTCGTAAATAGGGAAATTCAACAAATGTTTCTTATTAAGTAGTTAAAAATACAAAATTTTCCTGCAGTTATGGGTCTGTTCACAGGCTATAAGTTTTTGTGATTGTTTATAGACTTACAATAATGGTAGTTCATGCTAAAAGTTTCCATGGAGACACAAATCAGCTTTAATTAAAAGATGATATGAAAAATCACTTGCTGAGATATGAGTTCATTAATAAAATAATGATAAATCACATGGTGTATTTAACTTGAGAGCAAGTGCTTTATCACATTTAATTCTATTTATTTTCATAAGGTATGTTTACACTTACAGCATTTTAAGTACACCTCTGTTAAAAATGTTTAAGGAAACAGAAGCCTCAGCTTGTGATTTAGTAGTGCCATTCAGACAATAGGGGGTGATATAAAGAACTTTTTCTAGCACTGAGGAAGCACATCTAAAATAAAGTACCGGATTTTAAAGCACTACCATTTTAGCAACAGCACAGAAACTATATAAAACAACCGTCTTCCATTTAAATAAACTGCACTCCAAGTAGTCACCAGTCAACAATACACCAAAAAGTGGCTTTTTGATTTTTCCTGTTGCCGCTTTGTGGTTACCTCTATTTTGCTCAATGTAGGTATGCCGGGGCAACCCCTAGCTGTCAGAGCAGCTCCTGCAGACTGGCTGGGTTCTTTGCAGGAGCATTAGGCACCAATGTGCGGCACTACTGGGGCTGTTAGACAATTCTCCTTGCAGTGAACTTCTTTTCACCGTTGCGAATGTCCATGGTAACATGTACGCAGCAGCCCACCTGATGTTTTTAAGATACAACAGGGAGCAGACGTGTTGCATGGTTGAAAATACAGAGCTTTCTAGGGTAGCATTGGAGGGCAGGAGGAGCCACATCTAGCGCAGTTTTGTCACTACTATCCACAGAAATCCCAGAATGAACCGGACCTTCACTCCAGAAGGAACTAATTGGTTCACCCCTGTAAAGGGCCTGGGAATTAACCAACATGAGCAACCGCAGACCCAGGAAAGAAGTAGGGAGCCAAGTTAGTTACAGTGTAGATATGTCCTAGATTACTACAGCAGTGTAGTATGTTTTCAAAAGAAATAAATGAGTTCAAGAGGGACTGAGTAGCCTGCTGTCACTGCAAGGATTCTTTTTTCCTAAAAGATGGAGAATATCTACTTTCTGTAAGTCAATTCCCCAGGAGAACTGGAATGACAGATCCTAGATACCTGTCATCCATATTTTTCACATTAAATGCAACTTTTTTGTAGATCATTCTGTTCCGAGACCCATACCCCAGAAATATTCATGAGAAAGTATGCAGTCAAATTCATGTGGATAAATAAACCTTCACGTGTTTGGGAGCCTTGTTTTTGTGTTTGACTTCTATTGCCATAGCAATTTGCAGTGGGAAGGTTGGTACTGCAAAAAATTGGTTCAATAGGGGAACTGAAACAGGAAGGAGTATTAAAAAGCAGCAGTGCTGGCATCTTGATTTCTGGACATACCAGCACTCCATATCAGAGCAATACCAACTAGAAATATGAGTTAGTAAACCTCAAGGGTTAAATCAAAGCTGTTAATTTCTGCTCATTTTTTTGCCTTTCCCCACAGAGAGCTCTGTGTTCCTCAGTTCTTCCCATTATCCCGAGCCAGGCACTGAATAGAGCTAACGTTCTCTTGTTTTCACAGTCTTTTTTAAAGCGTAGAAGCCATTAGGCCTACTATTTGGTAGTAACAGCCAAAAAAAGATCCAAATTAGAGAATAGTAAGAAGAGAAAAAACCAACCACCATACAGTTCTCTTGCGCAGGAGGCTGCCATTTTGAATTCACTAGCAACACAGAAATAAAACATATGGTATCAACAGATACAGTAGACCTTTGCACCTCTGCGTGCCTTGTCACTGTGAGTTGCACTAATCTTGCAACATAAAGACAACCTCTTCTTTGAGTAACATAGGAAACTGTTTGTTCTGCATCAGCCTTACATTCTTCCTTTAACCTTCAATGGAATGTAGTTTAACTATGCAGTCTGACCAAAGTTTGCTAAGTAAATTAAAAATAACGTGGGTCCCAAGAAGCAATTTCTTTGAATTTTACTCCTCCTAAGGTGGACACTAAGCACCACATGCTCAGCTGGGACGCGCACCTGGTCATTAAGTCCAAGATAGTTTTCTAGACTCCCACATTAGTAAACGAAGAGATGTGCGCCTCCAGAAGGTGACTATCTTTTAGACACTTCTCTGAAACTGATGGGACAAATCACCCCCAAGATGCTGCCTTCCTCATCCCCTGGCAAAGCAGCCTAGCTTAGCCATCTAGAAGTGTGGTACATAGCTCAAAATCAGGTGAGCCCCATCATTAGAAGAAATCCATCCAGTTCCTTATGTTATTTGATGTACTGTGGGGTCCTCAGTCCATCAGACAAACTTTGTAGAGAGACTGTAGCTCTTGCATAGTTGCTGCCTGATCTTGCCTTCAGAGCAGAAGCTCCTGGCTGTAGAAGCTCTGTCTTATTTTGCAGGACGGGGAGATTTAATGGATGTGCAGAGGAGTCCTTCTCTCAGCATCTCCACAACTGTGACATATGAAAAAGTACCTATTAAGTTGTGTAAATACAGAAACTTTACAAGAGCATTGACTCAAGGCTAAAGCTACCTGGCTTTTGGAATCCACTGATGTGCTGAAAGCAGTACTGAAAATATGCCACAGTATGCAGCCCTGAAGAGCAGTGACCAGAAAGTACTTCTGCTAGGAAGCACATCCCTTTTTCTTGTTGCCATGTCCAAGCCTTTCTTTGGGTTAGCTCAAGATAGTAAGATATTTAGCTGCACACTATTCTGCCTCAGCATCAATGCAAGGGGGTGAA